AAGGGCGCGGGGGGAAACGCGCGGCAACTGCCCGTGCTCAGCTACTTCATGCACGCGCTGGCGGGCGCCCAACGAAACGGTGGCTTCCTCTTCCGCGCGGCCATGCTTGCGCCCGCCACGCTGAAGCCGAGCGCCAAGAGCATCTCCCTCAGCGTTCATGACTGCTTCGCGCTCGGCCGGGGTGCCCAGCGAGAACCACGCCGCGCGAAACAGATCGCCAATGATCCCGGCGAGGCCCGGGTCGATGTCGCCGGACTTGGGGGCGTCAAAAGTCATCTACCCATGGAGTCGTGGACGTCGCCGCCCTTGAGCTCCTCCAGTGCTCCGCCAATTCGCAGCGGTCTCCCATCGCGAGCTCAGGCCCGCCGCCGCGGCCAACGAGCCCGCCGCTGCCCGCGCGCGCCCATGGGTCTGCTTTGAAAGCTAAAAGCATCGGGGCAGGCATTGAGCGAGCTGCGTCTCTGTCGGATCAAAAGCTGGACGGGGAAAGGCGCGATTTTGCTGATCTGGCGGAAGCGCCGGGCGAACTCGCGATAGGCGAACGCGTCGGTCAGGTCGCGGCCCAGTCCCAATCTTGCCGACTTGGCCCTCCAAAAACACGCCGTCGGGATTGCGGTCGCCCCCTCCTGGCGCGCGCGGGGGCGGCGCCCCCCGCGCCCGCTGCGGCGCCGCGCAAGCAGCGCGCTCGCGCGTCAGCACTGATCGGAAGAAGCAACCCCAATACACGCGCATGGCGCGGATAAGCCTGCATCGGGAGACGACCTTTCCAGCGGCCGTGATTTTCATGCATTCTGCAGGAATGCGTCTTCGGTAGCAGGGAAAACGAGTCTCGGATAGAATGCGCGCCCCGCTCTGGTTAGCGGCCTGCGGCGACATGCAGACCCTGCACATGTGCGCGCGGACCCTGCGCAGGCGATTCGATTCTTCTCCAGCGTGATCAATGCCTTGCATTGAAAATAACCGGCGCCCATGCACGCGGAGTTCGTCAAGAGCTCGCTCGCGGGTGCAACCCTCGTTCATGGTGGCGCCCCGAAATGCGCGCGCCTCCCGCGCTGCCGCTCGGGCGAGCCGGTCTAGACATGTGACTCGGGAAGGCGACCGCGATAAACAAGTCAGAGGAAGGGAGTCCATTCGGGCGCACATCGCCGTCGCTTTGCGTTGTGCAGCACGTGTCGAGTGTGCTGCATCGGCTCGCTGGCCCCCTCCGGCACACGCCCCGACTCTCCTGCCCACGCAATTCTCCCCCGCGCCCCGCATCTCGATCATGCGGTGCTTCACGTAGGTCCCAACGGAGCGAATACGTGCATGGCGTTGTCGCCATCGTCGCAAGAAGTTCTTTGCTGGCGCCATCCGCTGATAGAGCTTTGAACCACTCCTGAACAGGAACTGATACGGTGAGAAATCGGATGAAAACTCGTTCCTTTCGCGCCCACCAGAGCATATGTAAAAACTCGTCCCATCCTATGAACCACAATGTGATCCCCCCTGGGAACCTCCAGAAGCGAATCTAGCCTTAACGCCTTCGCCCTTGCCATCGCGTCGGCGACGCAGTAGTGCAAGCTGCACACTAAGTCTGCGCAGACGTGAAAGTATGGCGCTGTCTGGGCGCAGTGCACGTCTCCACCGAAGCTCCGATCGAACTCGTAGTCGTCTGTCTCGTTGTTTGACCAATTGCGTAGACTCCGTCGCCAATGTCTAGCCATTCGTGAACAGTGGGGCGGCGGCCTCCCGCACGCAGTGGATGACCAGCGCACAGTGCGTTTCAGTGGTGTCCCCATGCTCGGCCTCGTCAAATTCATTATCATGTTCGATGGCTCTTTGGTCGATCGTCGTACGAAATTGAGATCCATCTTCGCTTCTGTGGAAAATCGCCGCCACCCGATCCAAATCCCATCTAGCATCTGCGGTCGGGGTTTCCACAGTGCGCGATGCTCAATGGCGCGTGGTCTGGGAACTTGTTGGGCGCCTGCAACTTCAAGGCCGCGCGCCTCCAGCGCGCGCATTGAATGATGCCAGGGAGAAATCCGCTCGGTCCGATGATGAAACCAATTCTGCTTTTCGATCGGTTGGGTCCCTGATGCGTGTGTCCAGCACTCCACAAGTACGTGTTGTAGACCGCGAGGTAATGCAGATTCATGCTCGCGTGCAGTCGGCTTCAAATTCGGCCTTCGCGATCTGGAGATACTGGTCCAACCAAAAAATCTGGCCATGTGGGCTTCCCAAGCCATCATTCACGTCCACGAAGGTGTGTGGTGTGACTCTCGCTGGCGTGTTCACTTGTTCAAATTTCAACCGCTGTTACAAAATGTCGGTTGTGATGACCCATGCCAGCCTCACCTCCTTGCGGGACCGGCGGGGAATATGCCAACACAAAGTTACACTGCAACTGTCCATGGGAATAGGTCAACACACCTCCACGCCCCCAAAACCCAGTGGGCGGCTGCTCCCCTCTGGTGATATGTGATGTCCGAAGCCTCGAGATGTTCAGGAATCGGGTCATTCTGCAATTCTTGTCAGTGTATGGCGATGTGTCCCTTCCCGCCTGTACGGCAGGATGATATCTAGTGAACGATGTCGTGTGTGGACCTGCTTGTGTCGTCTGATCGAGGTGCCGACGAAACCAACCACGTCCGCGATCCTCAGGTTCGCCGAGGCCTTCCATCGTTCGGACGTCCATACGTGCGCATGTTTCTGTTTCGTGCGTGCGCCGGAAAAAAACATGCACACGTCCGAGCGATGACAAGGAGATGTCGGCGAGGCGGTCTGTTTTTGCGAAGGCTGGGTTGTACTGCGCCGTCGTCAAGGCAATCCTCTGCGCGGCCGCCATGGTCGGGGGGGCTCTGGAACGAGAGACATCACCGCCACTCGGCGGGAGTCATCCCCAGAGCTGCTAGGGCGGTCTTGATCCACCGTGGGTTTACGCGATAGGAAATCTTGCTATTATGGAAAATGGGCACATTCTTCGTTGATCCCTGGACGTTCCAAGGTACTCCAAGGTGTCTGGGGCCCCCCTGTGGCCACCGTCGGCAAGGAACTTACGTGGGGCTCCTGCTGTCATGCTGGTTTCTTGTTTGGTGCACCTGCTGTAAGACAACGCCCCGGAAACATCGAAAAGTAAACCGTTGGCAAGGATAATCGATTATGCAATCGAATTCTACGCCTCCATCGCCTTGATACTGGCCAGGTGAACAGCCATACGCTGCTCGTGTGGGGGGGACTCGGGTCGTCTGAAAAATCTATGGGAACCTACGCTTCAGCACGAATCTCGCGAGGAGGGGACTGGGCGAGGGGATGGGTAGGAGAGGGGCGAGGGAAGGAGGCCGAGGGGTAAATGGGGGAAGGAGCGCCGGGCCGCGCAGAGCGCCTGCGGCTCCGACTGAGGTGCGGGGAGGGAGGGGCCCAGCGCTGTCCACGCAGGACTCCTCATGCTCATGCTCATGCCGCATACCGTTTTTGTTTGTCTTCGTCCTCTGGCCCTGCCCCCCTTGCACAACCCCCGAGGCTCGTGTCGTGACGACGTCGACGGAAATTCGACATTGAACGATCGCGGCTGTCTGACAGCGCAGATCGCTCGATGCGGGTCGCTTCCCGGCCACTGGCAGCGTTCCAAGCTTGCACGCCCGCGCTGCAACGTCGCCGCGTCCGCGAGGCGCGAGCCTGCCGTGTCCCCCTGTACGGTCGCCCAAAGTGGGCGGGGACCCGCGCCGAACCTGGCATGAAAGAAGCGGGCCCCGATCCGCAACACGCAGCTCGTAGCGTACTGCTACGGAGCTCGACACGTAGACTGGAAACGTAGGTCTGACGCGATACGTTCGCACAAACGTGGGCCAACACGTTGAGCCAACACGCACCGCATTCATGCGGACGCTTTGAGCACGGTACGTGTTACGTATCAAAACGGGCGTATCAAATGGAGGCAGCTGAGGGCATGAAAGAAGCGGGCCCCAGAGGAAACGGGTACTGGACCCAGGGGTTTCCCCCAGGGTCAGCTTGCCACCCCGAGCAGTTCGTGTTGACGGTCTTGGCTGCAAGCTGCGCGGCTGTTAGCCAGTTTGCTATCGGAGCCGTTGCCCCCCTCCTTGCCTCCCCTGCTTCCGATCATCGCGCCCGTCGCTCGTAGTTTGTCTTCCAGTAGGGGGCCACATGCGAACCCTACCCCTACCCCCCACGATTTCTGAGGGGAAGGGTGGGGTTCACTTCGCTGGGGAGCTCCCCCTATCCAGGGCTAGGCTGCGCGCGCGCGTTCCAAGGGGTGTTCCGGTGCCTGCTCGGCGGTATGGCGACGTCGGCAGAGGTTGGCCGGGCCTCTGATTCCCGACGGCTGGTTTTCCTGGACGGGTTCCAGCTGCCACTTCCCCCCGTTGAGGGTTGGGCGCTCATTAAAGAAACAAGCATGTTGACGGTCATGGAGGTTGCCGTTTCCTCCGGAAGCGATCGTTACTCCGAGCTTGGGGGCTGGGGCCCTGGGTCACGGTAACGCCTGGGGTTGGGCGCGTCGGGGCGCTGCGATCGCCACAGTCTGCGGGCGAGCGCCAGCATGTAGGACGGGGGTCCAGGGCCCCCCCTACGAACGCTCGTTGCTGTGACCCCGAGGGGCGGGAGGGGGAGCGGGTTTGGGGGTGTGGCCCCGGTGACGGACGCTCCGCGCCAGAGACTAACAGAACTAACGACCTACCAGACCACCCTAATCCAACCCGAAGACCCGAATTTCGGGTTGAGGGGGGTACGGGGTCCACACGTATTTTTTCGATGTTCCCCAGCGCACCCCCCCACCGGAAATGGAGGGCAAATCGGGGCCTTCGGGTTGGATGGGGTGGCTTGGTGGCCGGTGAAGAACAATATCACGGGGCCCGTGGATGGCCCCTGGGAGCCCCAAGGCACGGCAGCACCATCTCCAGCATCCGTCTCCGCCAGGGACCCTTCCCTTTGTGGCGACCAGCAGCCGCTCGCCGCCCCCCGCAGGGGCCGGCGCCGCCGCCCCGCCCGACTGAGGCGGCGGCGTGGGACGGGTCCCACCCGAACGTGTGCAGGGCCGCCGCCGCCAACTCTGGGGAGACGACGCCGTACGCCAGCATCTGGTCGACGGTGAGCCTCAGGTCCTTGCGAGGTGCTGAGCCTTTGGGGTCGGTCGGGCTTCAGGGTTTTCGGCCGATCTCTGCTGAGTCTGAACTTCCGAGGTTCCTCGCGGCCACAGGCGGATTCCACCTCGAATGCTGGCCATAACGCGCCCGCCCCACGGCAGGCAGGTCTAGGTTCGACCTTTCAGGAAGGGACCTGGATCCCCTCACCAGGCCCTGGAACCGTCCAAAATCCCTCATGGAGTGACAAATCTGTCCCAGAAGGGGCCGAGTCCTCCAGGGGCCTACGCTGTGGAAAAACACGACGCTAGGGGTCTGGGGAGGGCGGTGGGAAGAGCTCGAGGTTGAAGCGTGGTGCTGCCCTGAATCTATAGCCGACCCCAAGAATGCTTCAAACGACCAGCGCGCAATCTACACTTAGGTGTTTCTGTATTTTTCGATCCTGACAACTGCATTTGCTAATGTTTATCCTTTTCTGTTTAATATTGTGACAATGCGTAGGACAACTACATGACATGGAGCATCAACCAATGACGAAATCCATACACGTAAACGAAACAGACCGTCCGCATTCCTCCTCCGTCCTCCTCACAAATTGTCCCTCCCGCCGATTCTCTCTCCTCATCCTCCTCCTCCTCCTCATCCTCCCCCTCCCCATCCCCCCTCCGCCCCACCTCCTCCAACCCCTCCCACCTCCTCCCCTGCCTCCTCCTCTCCAGGGCCTAGGACTGTAGATGCCAGGTCCCCAAGGACGGGCCCAGGAGGGGAAGTGTAGATCTTGAGGGTGTACAGCGGACGTGATGAGGAGGGCCAACCACGACGAGCCAATTCTACACTCCAAGACAGAAAGTGTAGATCTACACTCACGACAAGGGAGTGCAGAGGAAAACGAAACCTCTACACTCCAATACCGAAAGTGTAGAGCTTGAAAAAAGCCAGCTTCTACACTCCAGACAGGGAAGTGTAGAGGACGGAGAAACTTGTAAACTCCAAGACACAGAGTGTAGATCTACACTCCTCAACGGGAAGTGTAGATTTGACGCTTGTCCACCAGCGTCGTCCTCCTCGGTCGTCGTCCTCGGTCGTCGTCACCTCTCCCTCCTCCTCCTCCCGCTTTCCTCCTCCTCTCAGCGCCCCTCCACCCCCCCTCCTCCATTACCCCTCCCCTCCTACCCCCATGAGGCCCTGGGGGCTGACGGAACAAGAGCGATCACGGAGGGAGAGGGGATGCGTGAGACGAGAGTGAGTGATAGCTAGAACTGCAGGGGAAGGAGTGGCGGGAGCGGGAGGTGGAAAGAATGCACGGGGCATAAATAATGTAACGGAAAGAGAAAGGGGGTATAGATGAGGGTCTGAGGAGTTGATCAGTTTTTTGCTGTACAATTGTGTTTTGTCATGTGGGTCATCGAAATCGACGAAAACGAAAAAGTGTAGATCTTGGGCCCTTGGATTTGGGCGCTCCTATAGAGGGCCCCACCCCCAAGCAAACCCCGAGCTTCAAGCTCGAGGTATACTCCCAAGATGTCTGGTCGGCCTGGGAGCTCGGCGCACATACGCCCCAACTTCCCAAGGCTGCGGCATGCTGACTGGCTTCGCCTTTCACTGCGGCCGCTCTCTGTTTTCCATATGTAGAACAAATCCGCGAACCAATTGCTGCTGCATAACGCGTTGTGTCCCGCGTCGCCGCTGGCAGAATCCGCCGACCCCTTGTGGATCTTCAGGCGTGTGAGGTTCTTCCCCCCATAAGCCCCCCCAGGGACCCCAAACCGATATTTTGACCCCCCCCCTGGCCCAGTTCGAATGCATCATAGGTGGGAATAAAGGGGGCTCCCGGACGACCCAAGACAGCCCCCGGAGGCCCCCATGACGGTCCAAGAAGGCCCCGCATCGCCGAAAGATCGTTCCAAGACGCCCCAACATGGCCTCCAGACGGCTCAAGATGCCCCCAAGGTCGTTCCCAGAGCCTCCAAGAGCACCCCTAAGATGGCCCCGAAAGGCAAACATCGTCCAATTTCGGTGGGGAAGCATTTTCTTGTTTTGCTATCATATGCGACGTTTCGGTCTTCACGACGTTGAGGACAGCCCGAGAGGCCCCCAAGACCGCCCCAAGTGAACCCAAGAGGCTTCCAAGACGGTCCCAAGACGGCCTGCGAGGGCTCAGGACCCCCCTCCCTCCCCGCCTCCCCCCTTTGTCGACAAGGGCCCTGCCCCCCTCCATCCTCCCTGACCCCGCCCCGGGAGGCACCCTCCTTCCTCTTGTATGCTGTTGCGGGGTGCTGCGTATTTTCCTACATGTTTCCAAGAGCCCTCAGATGGCCACGGAGCTTCCCAAGAAGTCCCCCAAGAGGCCCCCAAGCAGAGCCCAATAGACTCCCAAGAGAGCCCCAAGAAGGGCTCCAGAGCATCAGCGTAGTCGTCGCCGCCGCCGCCGCCGCCGTCGTCGTCGTCGTCGTCCCCCTTCAGGGTCGGCGGCAGCGGCCGTAAGGACTTCCCAATAGCCAGGTAGGAGGCAGGAGACAAGAGGAGGAGCCAAAAGAAGAGAAGAGAAGTGGGGCGGGAAATGGAGACCGCAGTGGTCCATTCAAAACGAGACCCCAACGCAGGAGGGTTGGGAAATAGTTTCCAGGACTGGGGGTCTGATTTCTGTTGATCGTCCCCGCCGAGCGCTACGTGGTGAACGCGGGGTCCGGCGATGATACTCTTCCATTACAGGCAACCAGTATAAGGAGGACGCACGATCAAGAATGCAAGGGCCTCGGAAAGCCATGTCGGCACTTTGCGAGCGGGGCGCGACCAGCGAAAGCGGCCAAGGATGGGCCGAAGGGAAAGGATGCAGGGGCAACCTTGGAACGTCGCTCATCCTTACTATGCGGGTTGACTGCACGTCAGCATGCTCCCCTCTTCGGGGGCCGACTTTGGCTTCCACCCTGCTTCCGAGGACCCCCAGACGGCCTCCGCGGGCGGAGCCGCCCTTCGTTGTACTCACGCCTCCTTCCGCGGGCCTTCCGCGGGCCTCCGCCAAGAATGCGATGCCAACTTCCTCACTCCCCGACGACGACGACGACGGCAAAGACGACGACGACGACGGGGGATGACCTTGCTAAGACGGCAGTAGTGACTGCCAGCATCCTTGGCGCCAGTGCCGCAGCTTTGCCCGTTGCAGCCGAGTGACATCCTTTCGCTGACCAGCCCGCGGTTGAATCAGATGCACAATCCAAACATCCTTTGTTCAACATACTTTGGTTTCATTTCTGAGCGTCCCACCATCCACGGGTGGAAATAGCTGTCGAGCCCCGTCCGGAAAAAACAATCGCCTGGAATCAGATGAATGGCCAACTTCTGCCGATGGCACCATCCAGCCAAGCAGGCGCCAGAGCACCCCTCGGCGCGCACGGGCCCGCAGCAGAGCTAAAGAAGACGAGCAACGTGCGCCGAGCGTGGTGGTGAGGGTAAGTGAGACGAGTTGTAAAATCATGGCCCCCAGCGCAACAGTCGCGGCAGCGCCACGTCCCCGCATCCGACCGCAAGTCCGCCCGCGCGGCAGCGCCTCGCCTCTCGGGGGAGACTGGTCCCGCGCCGCCACGCCTCACGCCGCCCCCCGCGGCAGCGACTCCAGAGAGTGCGGGACCAAGACGCAGCGCCATGTTAGGTACCGCGGCCAGCATGTGCTGCCGCTCTCCAGAGTGCTGCTCAGCGTCCGTGGTGCTCATGGCGGTGCTGCTGGAGTCCTAGGAGCGGACGATGGTGCTGCCGAAGTCCGTCGTACTGCACGCGGTGGTTCTGCTTGAGTCCGTCGTAAGGCTCACGATGGCGCTGTTGAACTCCGCCTCGCTGCCCCCAGTGGTGCTGCCGAGGTCCGTCATGCTGCTCACCAGGAGCTGCTGGAGACCCTTGTGATGCCACTGGTGGGTCCGCTGGAAGCCGTCTTGCTGCTCTCGGTGGTGCTGCTGGAGTCCGCCGTGTTGCTCACGTTGGTGCTGCTGGAGTCCGTGGTGTTGCTGACGATGGTGCTGCTGGGCTTCGTCGAGCTGATCAGATGGCGCCGCTGAGGACCCTCGATCTGCCCCAGGCGGTACTGCCGGAGTCCGTCCTGCTGCTCATTGTGGTGTTGCTGGGAACTATGCTGCTCCCGGTAGGGCTGCTGCGGTTCGCGCCCGCGGGTGTGACGGGCGGCCCGCGCGTGTGACGGGCGGCCCGCGCCAGCTGGAATGGCGGGCGGCACGCGCCAGCGGGTGCGACGGGCGGCTCGCGCGCCGGCTGGTGTGGCGGGCGGCTCGCGCCTGCCAGAGTGCGAACGCCTCGCGCCAGCGTCGCGCTGCTCCCAGTGGTGTTGCTGGAGTCCGACCTGCTGCTCACGGTGTTGCTGCAGTCCGCGCTGCTCGCAGTGGTGCTGCTGGAGTCTGTGCTGCTGGAGTCTGTCGCACTGCCCACGATGGCGATGCTGGAGTTCGTCGTGATGCCCACGATGGTGCTGGAGTCCGATGAGCTGCTCGCCTGACTGCTGGATATCCACACGGCGCCAAGCAGCGCCATGAGGTCTACCGTGGTGCTGCAATATGCCGTGCTGCTCGACATGGTGCTCTATATTTCATCGTGGTGGACAACGTGGAAGCACATATATATATATATATATATATATGTACACACACACACTTCCCAAGTGCAGGGCGGCGGCGTAAAATGGTGTCCTCGACCCATGTGGAAGATTATCGAGTCTGCTGCTCATTGCAGACGACACGGCACAAGGGACGAGTACGCCCCCCAGGAGAGCGCGGAGATAATGTAAGCGGTCGCCGCCTGACGCGGCGCCCTTGCCAGCACAGGCTCGGTCCAATGTGCCAGTCAATAGCTGCATCCGATACATCTCACCCGTGCCGAGCCGCTGTCGCCCAGAAATCTGCCCAGAAGTGGCCAGGCGATAGGAATGCTTCGTAATCACTGACCCTCCCCGCCCGATTCCGGGGCCATGACAATTCCTCATCCACGGAGGAATTAAATCGCACCACCTGTGTGCACTCAGGACCGCGTCGGCCAGAGCGGGGGCGCTCGCTTCGGGATGACATTGACATCCCTGGACCAGCAGCCCGCCACTGCGAGCCGCCCGTCACACCTGGGGGGGACACTGGCACCGGTGCGAGCCGAGCGCCTCCGGCTGGCGAGGGTAGGCTGGCATCCCCCGGAGCTGCAGCCAGCGCTAGCCCGCCCGTCACACCCCTGCGGGGCGCCGTTGGACTCATGCTGCGGATCTGCTGATCGTCGTGCTGCTCATCGTCGTGCTGCTGGTCGTCGACGTGCTCGTCGAAGGCCGAGCTGCTCGTCGTGCTGCGGGTGGCCGCCGTGCTGGGCGCCGCAGCGCTACGCGCAATCCAAACATCCCTCCGTGTTCCTCATCATCCTCTTCTTCCTTTCCTCCCTCCCTCCCTCCCTCCCTCCCTCCTTCCCCCCCTCCCCTGCGCAGCCGCGTGTCCAGCCGGCCCGTGCGGTGTGCAAATGGCAACTGGCGAACTCCCCCCACCCCAGGAACCGCATACCGCCAGACGGTGCCCACTGCAGGGGGGCAGGGGGTGCGCCAACCGGAGCCCTCTGGATGAAGGCGCCGACGCCGACGACGACGAAGACGGCGACGAAAACGACGACGACGACGACGACAACGACGACGACGAAGACGACGACGACGACGACCACGGAGACGACGACGACGACGACGACGACGACGACGACGACGACGACGACGACGACGACGACGACGACGACGACGACGACGACGACGACGACGACGGCGGCGGCGGCGGCGGCGGCGGCGGCGGCAGCGACAGCGACGAAAACAGGGACCAGGCCAGGGCGGTGGAGGAGGAGGAGGAAGAGTAGGAGGAGGAGGAGGGGGAGGAGGAGGAGGAGGAGGAGGAGGAGGAGGAAGAGGACGAGGAGGAAGAGGACGAGGACGGGGACGGGGAGGAGGGGGAGGAGGGGGAGGAAGAGGAGGAGGAGGAGGAGGAGGAGGAGGAGGAAGAGGAGAAGGAGAAGGGGGGAGGAGGAGGAGGAGGAGGAGATGAAGAGCTTCCTCCTCATCCCTCCCCCCTTCTCCTCCACCCATCCGGCGGGCCGCGCTCGCGTCCTCCGACCCCCAGCCCACGACGTGCTCGGCCACAGGCGACGCCGCCTCGGGGCGGGCTGTCTCTGGGCTGCCGGCCCCGCTCAGGGCTGTAACCAGGGCGGAGAGGAGGGGGGGATGACTGAAAATAACAAGGACGAAGAAGAAGGGTCGGGAGGAGGGGAGATGGAGAAGGGAGGCGGAGAGAGGGGAGGCGGAGAGAAGGACGGCGTAGAGGGGAGGGGAGGGATGGAGAAGGAAGGCGGCGACAGAGCAAGGAGAGGGAGAGGCTGCCGGCGGCGGGAGCGGCGGCGGGAGCGGCGGCGCCGCCCGCCCCCCCCCCCCGCGACGGGTCCGCCGTGCTCTGGTTGGTTTTCAGCTTGAAAGTAATGTGGGAATTGCACCCCGCACGATGCGAAGAAGTAGGGCTGGAAATCCCGCGTCTGAGAAGTAGGACGCATGTTTGCCCGCAACAGTATAATGGCGAAAGCAGCGGCGAGAACGCGGGGCGGACCTCGACCTCACAGGAGCCTGAAGAGCAGTAGGGCGGAAATCTCTGCCCTACCTACGACACCACACAGAACACGGCGTATCCGGAGTAGAGGAACCCTGAGACCCCAGGGAGTTGCACTTGGTTGACAAAAAGCGTTTTCGCTTGGTTTGGGCCGGGGCACCATCACAGATCGACCTGGTTCGAAAAATGCAACAGAAAGAATGTGTCCGGGGCTCTGGTCGTGAGTTTAGGTGGCGACATCCGAACCCTACCCCCGCCAACGATCCGTTCTTCTGAGTCGATGGGAGGTGGCGGTGGAAGGTTCGGATTTCGCCACGTGCTCGACGAATCCCGATACCTACCCCCGCCGCCCATCGCGCTGCCCGAATCTTGGATCGGCGAGGGTAGGGTTCGGATTTCGCCGCCGAGATGCCCCACGATACTGCATTTTTGTCCACGCGCGCGCGCCGCCTGTGACGGAGCAGCGGCCGCGACGCGGCGCCGGATCCACCTGGGCGTCGCAAAATGGGGGGGGGCAGTCAATGGGGGGCGGAGGGGGGGAAAGAAAGGTGCACTGTTCGGGCCCTCAGGGCCCCCGTCAAGGGGCCCTCAAAGGCCCCTTCAGGGGCCCCAAAGGGCCCCGTTTCTGCAGCCTTCGCTGCCCCCCCCTATTTGGCGGGTTCGGGAGACCCTGACCCCAATAGGCTCTCATCTCTTGGGAGGTCGCCTCTTACTTCCGCCCGGCTTCCGCAGGCAAAGGCGGCTCTGTCCTACTTCCTCCGCCTTTCGCCGCCTCTCCGCGACCCTTCCGCCGAGGCAGGGACGGCAACTCCTTCGATCCTCGAAGGCAAGGCCCTCTTTGGAACGCCCCATCGATTGCCTCGGTTTAATAAACCACCATGTAGTGAAAACGGCCTGGGGTCGAAACCGACGGACCTGGACCCGCAAAAACTACGGCCCCCACGCCCTCTAGCGAGCCGAAAACGGCCAATTCGCGGATCGACGTGTCAGGGTGGGAAGTCCATCGAAACCTCCGATTGCCTCCCACGGCGCGACGCCCGGCCCACTCCAGGGCCTCCGGCTGCTGGGCCCGGTGGGCCATGGCGGCGAGGCGGCGCGCGGGGCCGGCGGCGGCCGCCTGGAGGCAGGCCTTCCACCGCCCCTCCCAAGGACGAGGCCTGCCACCGCCTCCACGATCGGCGGCGCGCCCTGGGGGGAAGTGGGTCCAGGGGCGGGCCTTCCCAGAAGGCTCGGAAGCCCCCCCAGCCGTCTGAGAGGTTTGCTGGGCCTTCCCCGGCCCGAAGACACAGACAACTTCTCAGAAGGCCCGAGGGCTTCTGAAAAGACCCGCCGCCTTCTGAGAAGGCCCTCTCCTTCTCGCTCCCCTCCCTCGCTCGCGGCCCATCCACGATCGGCGGCGCGCCTTGGGGAGGAAGCGAGACAGGGCTCGACCAAAACAGCGTTTTTCGTGTTCGTTTCGCTTTCGTTTTCCGTCGTTTCGTCTTCGTTCCGCCTTCGCTGCAGAACGAACTCGAAACGAACACGGTCCACGAGATCGCCCCTGAAACACCGTCTAGGTCGAGCCCGGCCTTCTCAGAAGGCTCGGAAGTCCTCGGGCCCTTGTGAGCGTTTTTTATTCGGCGTTTCGACATTGGGCGGAAAGGGGGGGGGAGGGGGGGGGGTCCGGCTCCGGACCTCTGCTTAGTGCGACTGTTTGCGACAGTGCGTCCTCTGGGGGAGGGACTCCACCTGCTCGAAACAGGCGCCAAAAACCGCCAAGATCCACTCCAGGGAGAGGGGGGGGGTGCGAGGGCCCGCGCCGATCGGCAAGATAGTGCATGAGAAAACGATCCCCTTCTCTGAGAAGTGCTCCGAGCCTTCCCCGCAGTGGTGGAGAGGGCTTCTCGGCAGGCGCGAGGGCCTCCGAGAGGCCCTGCGAGGGCCTGCCCCCTCGCACCTCCCCCCTGGGCTCGCCGCTGGTCCCCTCCAGAAGGCGAGGCCTCCACCTCCTCCACGACGATCGCCGTGATCAAGATCACGACCGGGTGTGTTCCGCCGCTTTCGCAGTGTGGGTGCCCCCCCCCGCTGGGCCCTAGGACCTGTCCAAAAACGAATCAGGGTGTAAGCGATACCGGAGAAAAACTCCGATCGTAATCTTTTTTTTTGTATGGACTATGGGGCTATAGGGCTATAGGGCTATAGGGCTATACGGCTACAAGGCTATAGGGCTATAGGGCTGTAGGGCTGTAGGGCTATTATGGCATCATTGCTACAGGGCTATAGGACTATATATATATATATATAGGGCTATAAGGCTATAGGGCTCTAAGGCTATGGGGCTACCGGGCACCCGGGCACCCGGGCACCTGTGCACCTGGACACCCGGGCACCTGGGCACCCTGGCACCCGGGCGTGCCGCCGAAATCGGCGCCGTACCTCACCGACCCATGTGAATCCGCTAGGACCCCTACAGAGGCAAGCTCTGATCGGGGAAAAACTGGCCCCGGGGGAGGGGGATGTCCACACCGTGACTCTGGGCCACTAGGGGGTCGACCTCGTGAAAAAGCACCGCGTCGGGGTGCTGGGGAGGGGCGCAAAGGCTGCCGTGGCGCAGGCCACCACGAAGCTTCGCGGCACGGGTGCGCACGTGAGGGGGGGATCGCTATGGCGTGTCTGTTCCACTGCGCGTGGATCCACCCAGTCTCACGCCCACGCGGACAAACACCCGCACGCATGCACGCACGCACGCACGCACTTTTGCGTCGGCGGCTAGGCAGGGTCACTGCGCTGGAGAAAGCGGCGTCGGTGGGATGCACGGAGAGCGAATCAGGCCACCATGCAGGAGGGGAGGGAGGCGCCCGGCGGCGGCGGGAGGGAGGGAGAAACTGGGCCCGCTCAGAGCAGGGCCAGGCGCGTGGCGAGGGCGGCGACGGTGGGGGGGGACCAGCGGCGGCGGGCGGCGGGCTGGCGGCCAGGAGAGGGGGGGTGCCAGGGCCAGCTGCGGAGCACGCACGCACACATGCACGCACACACACACGCACATACACACACTCACACTTGTTTGGCGGTCGCGGCCCCGCGCGCAGCGTCGAGGAAAGTCACCGAACGGGCGGGCGCGCGGCGGGACGCCCAAGGCGTGCAGAAATCCGTCTTGAATCAAGCATGCCATGTGCATACCAGGGCGTGGGCAGCGAGGGTGCTGAAGGTGGAAGGGCAAAGCCTGGGCCAAGTAGACGCCGAGCGACGAGATGCGAAAAGGATGGCCGAGGCCAGAAGGGCAGCGCGCAGCTGCAAGATGGCGGCGGGCGAGAAGGCCAGCGGGTGCGAGGCCGTGGGCACCAGTGCGGGCGGCCGCAGGCACGAGAACAAGGGAGCGACGGAGACACACGCACACGCACACGCACACGCACACGCACACGCACACGCACACGCACACGCACACGCACACGCACACGCACACGCACACACACACACACGCACACACACACACACGCGCACACGCGCACACGCACACGCACACGCACATGCACACGCACACGCACACGCACAAGCACACACGCAGACGCACGCGCACGCGCACACGCACAGGCACAGGCACACGCAAGCGCGCACACACACACACACACACACACACACACGCAAACACACACACACGCGCGCACACGCACACGCACACGCACACGCACACGCACACGCACACGCACACGCACACGCACACGCACACACACACACACACACGCACGCAACCGCACACGCACACGCGCACGCAAAAGCGCACTCGCACGCACACGCACACGCACAC